CTATTTGTCAATTCTTGCACCAACATCACGCTGTCTTAATTACTCTAGATTTAAAATAAGTCTTGATATCTAGGAGAGCTAGCCCTTCATCTTGTTTTTCTTCTTTAAGAATCTTATTTTTGGGTCTTTGCATTTCCATATAAATTCTAACATTAGCCAACAAAAGCATGTCAGGAATTTGATTGGCATGGCTTTGAATATACAGTTAAGTTTGGGGAAAATTAACACGGTTATAATATTGAGGTTTCAAACTCATGAACATGACACATGTTTCCATTTATTTAGGAGAGTGTTTGATTTCTTTAATAATGTTATATGGTTTTCTATTGGTGGTTGTGCAAAAGTGTGTATACACACATGTATTAATGCTATATGGTAAAAGGAACAGTATACATATGTGTGTGTGTGTGTCCATATCACAGTATATACAAGTGCAGTTTTTTTTTTTTGTATATTGATCTTGAATCCTGCAACCTTGCTAAACTCACTTATTAGTTCTAGTAGTTTTTTTATTTTTTTTATTATTTTTTTTGGGTGACAAAGATTGTCCCTGAGCTAACAACTGTGCCAATCTTCCTCTATTTTGTATGTGGGACACCATCACAGTGTGGCTTGATGAGTGGTGTGTAGGTCCGTGCCCAGGATTCAAACCCATGAACCCTGGGCCACTGAAGCAGAGCCTGCACACTAGCCCCCTAGCAGTTTTTTTTTTAATGTTGATTCAAGCCTATTACCAATATGGCAATAATATCATCTAAAAATAAAAAGTTTTATTTCTTCCTTTCCAATTTTAATACCTTTTATTTCACTTATGCCTTATTGCACAGTCTAGATCCTCCAGTATAGTGTTGAACATAAGTGGTGAGAGCAGATATACTGCCTTGTTCTTGATCTTAAAGGAATAGTGTTCACTATTTCCTCATTAAGTGTGATGGTAACTGTAGGTTTTCCATAGAAGTCCTTTATCAAGTTTGGATTTTCCCTTCTATTACTAGTTTGCAGAGTGTTTTTAATCAGAAATGTATGTTGGACTTTGTCAAATGATTTTTCTGTGTGCCTACTGAGATGATCTATGATTTTCTTTATTAGTTTATTAATATGTTATATTATTTTTGAATATTAAACCAACTGTGCATTACTGAGATAAACTTCACTTGGTCATGATGCATTATCACTTTTGTGTATTATCATTTTACTAAAATATTGTTAAGAAATTTTTGTATCAATGTTCATGAGGGATATAGGTCTATAGTCTTCTCTCCCTAGGTCTTTGTCTGGTTTTAGTATCAAGGTAATGCCAGCTTCATAAAATGAGTTGGGAAGTAATTCCCTCTTCTTCAATTTTATGAAAGATTTTGTGTGGAATTGATAGTATTTTTTCCTAAAATGTTTGATAGAATTCATTAGTGAAACCATCTGGGCCTGCAGTTTTCTTTGTGAGAAGTATTTAAAACTACAATTTAAATATCTTTAATAGATATAGGGCTACGAAAGTTATTTATTTCTTCTTGAAAGAGCTTTGGTAGTTTTTGTCTTTCAAAGAATTTTTCCATTTAATTTAAATTGTCAAATTTATTGCCATGATGTTTTTCATATTTGTGTATTATCTTTTCAATATGTGTATCAGTACTGATTCCTTTTCTTCATTCCTGATATTCATAATTTGAGTCTTCATTTTTCCAGATCAATCTGGCTAAAGGCTTATCCATTTTATAGATCTTCTCAAAGAACCAGTGTTCATTTTTTTCCTCTCTTCTTTTTCCTCCTCAGAGTCCCAGTACATAGTTGTACATATTTAGTTGTAAGTGCTTCTAGTTCTTCTATGTGAGCAGCTGCCACAGCATGGCTGCTGACAGATGAGTGGTGTGGTTCTGCGCCCAGGAATTAAACCCGGGCCGCTGAAGCGGAGTGCGCCAAACTTGAACCACTAGGCCATCAGGGCTGGCTCCAGTGTTCACTTTTTTGTGTTGTCTATTTTCCATTTTCTATTTCATTGATTTTTGTTACTTTAATTTTTCTGATTACTTTGTGTTTAATTTGCTTATCTTTTTCTAGTTTCTCAAGATGAAAGAAAGGCTATAGATTTGAGACCTTTCTTCTTTTCTAATATAGGTGTTTAGTGCTACAAATTTCCCTCTAACTACTGCTGTAGTGGCATCTCAAGTTTTGATATATTGTTTTCATTATCGTTTGGTTCAACATAATTTCTGGTATCTCATATTTTTGCTTATTTTACTGACAGATTATTTAGAAGTCTTTTATTTAAGTTTCCAATATTTTGGGATTTTCTACATACCCTTCTGTAATTGATTTCTAATTGGATTCCATTGTGGTCAGATTAGTTCACATGATGTGAATGCTTTTAGTTTATTGGGACTTGTTTTATGACCCCAAATGTTGTCTATCTTGGTAAGTGCTCTACATGCACTTGAAAAGAAAGCGTATTTTACCATTACTGATGCAGTGTTCAAGTAACGTCAATTAGGTCGAGAAGGTTGTTCAAGTCTTCTATATCTTTACTAACTTTCTGTCCACTTTTTCAATTATTGAGAGAGTGGTAGTGAAATCCCTGACAACATTATGGATTTTTCTACTTCTCCCTGCAGTTCTAATGGTTTTTGCTTCATGTATTTTTAAGCTATGTTATTAAGTGCCTCAGTGTTAAGGTCTGTTATTGCCTTTCTATTAATTGACCCCTTTATCATTATGCTATGACTTTATTACTGGTAAAATTCTTACTTTTGAAATCTCCCTTGTCTGGTATTAATATAGCCACTGAAAGTTTCTTTTGATTATTGTTAGCATGGTACATATTTTTACATCATTTTACTTTTACCCTATCTGTGTCTATTAATTTTCTATTTCTACCTAATAAATTACTCAAAACTTAATTGCTTAAAACAAAACTCATTTACTATCTCACAATTTCCACAGGTCAGAAGTAGGGCACAGAGTGGCTGGACCCACTGCTTAGAGTCTTCCCAAGGTAAAATCAAGGTATTGGCCAGGCTGCAGTTCTCATCTTGTCCTTGGGCTCCTCCTCCATGCTCACTAGTTGTTGACAGAATTCAGTTCCTTTCAAGTCCTGTTTTTAATATTGGTAGGTGGGGCCAAAGCAACATTTAGCCTAGACTAATGTGGTAGGTAAAAATCTCCCCTCCCTACCCAAAGATATCTATGTCCTAATCCCTAGAACCTGTGAATATGTTAAGTTACATAGCAAACGGGAATTAAGGTTGCATATGGAATTAAGGTTCTTAATCAGCTGACCTTAAAATACGTTGACTAATGTGTATTATCTGTATGGACCCAGGAGAATCACAAGGGTCCTTAACAATGGAAGAGGGAGGCCGAAGAGGATTTGGAGTGATATACTGTGAGGACTCAACCTGATGTTGGCTTGAAGATGGAGAAATGAGGCCAAGAGCCAAGGAATATGGGTGATCTCTAGAAGCTGGAAAAGACAAGGAAACAGATTTTTCCCCATGAGTCCCACAAAAGGCATGCAACCCTGCTGACATCTTGATTTCAGCCCAGTGAGACTCATTTTGGATTTCTGACCTCCAGAACTGTAAGACAATAAATTTGTGTTGTTTTCAGCATCTAAGTTTGTGGTAATTTGTTACAGCAGCAATAGGAAACTAATTAGCTAGCTATCCCTCAATACTGAGGCAGACCCCTTCTGAGTACCTTACCCAATGCTTTGTGAATTAGAACATTTTTCAGTCTTGTTGGTGGGAACAGGTACTATTCTTGGTCTTATGTAATGCTGTGCACTGTTCTCTCTAATTCTTTTGGGTAGTTCTTTCTCTGATCTAGAGTAGTTTCTTTATGTGCATGCCCTGACAGTTACTTTGGAAGACTTGCGAGGGACTCTATAAATCTCTGGGGTTCTCTGTATAGCACTCGCTATCATTCTGCCCTCTGAACTATAGCCACCTTGATCTTTCAGACTCTCAAATGTATCCTCATCTCAGAGAATCTGCCAGTTCCACCTGGGCTCCATCTCCCTGTGCAACAGTCAAAGTCCTTTCATGGCAGTAAGCTGGGGTAACTGCAGTGTTCATTTCACTTGTTTCCTGCTTTCAGGGATCACTATCCTTCATTGCTTCATTTTCAATGTCTTGAAATTGTTATTCATTAATTTTGTCCAGGTTTTTAGCTTTTTTTCTGGTGTGAGAGTAAATCTAGTCCCTGTTACGCCATCTTTGTCAGAAGCACAAGTCTCAATTCAATGTATCTTCTAGTTTCCATTATAATTTATTTGAGGCTTGGTTTTTTAGAAGGTCATTCATTGACCAGGTCTAGGAAGAGGGCAGACCCTATGGCAAACTACTATAGGTTCCTCTTCAGGCTGAACTGATACCAACCCAAGAACAGAACCCCTCAAGCAGTCATTCAACAAGCATGTTTGAGGGCCTTCTCTATGTCAGTCACTATTCTATATGTTAGACACACAAAGGTAAACAAAGTAAGTATGGTCTGTTGTTCAGCATATCATAAGTTCACTCAGCCTACTCACATTTTTTTTTTTTCCCTCAAAAAGGGATAGGAAATTCCGTGAAGTGGTTTACCAAACACAGATATTTATTTGCAGCATTTCCCAGATCTATTAACACTATAAAAAGTAAAAGGGAGTAAGTCTGGTAGAAGTGGTATACTTGATGGGTCCCAGGAAAACCAATGTCAAAATCATTCTTAGAAAAACTTTTAATTAGCATCATGAATTCCAAACAAGAAAACAATAAATGTAATAAGTAATGTTTGGATTATCCAAGGTTTGATTAATTATAAAGGCTTCCCCCTACTCTCTACCTTTACTACAGAATATGAAAAGCTAACTGTGCCAAAGACAGTTAAATATCCAGAGATCTGTCACAGAAATATGGTTTAATTCAACTGTGCCCAGGAAGTGACATGATAAAGTCTCTTTCTAATAACACTTGTCTTTAATTCCATAAAATAATGCCAGTTAAAGTGATTATATGCAATTGGGTTTTTTAATGGTGATGCTTGATGTTGAAAAAGTCCTATACTATACCTCTACCACATATTTGACTATTATGGTTCATTTTTGTTATGTATCCTCTAATGTTTGGTAAGAGATGAGTTCATTGAAAGGTTTCCCCACATGCGTCCCAGGTATAAAACTTCTCTCCAGTGTGGACTCTCTGATGTTTGATAAGATCTGAACTTTGACTGAAAGCTTCCCCATAGTGGTCACACATACAGGGTTTTGTTCCATTGCGGATTTTCTGATGTATAAGATTGAGCTTTTAGGGAAGGCCTTCGCACATTTTACATTTATGTGGTTTCTCTCCAGTATGGGTTTTCCGGTAATTAATAAGTGCCGGCTTCCAAATGAAGGCCTTCTCCCACTCACTACACTCATAATGGTGTTTTTCTGTGTGAGTTCTTTGGTGGGTGACCAGAGTTGAAACACAACGAACCCTTTACTATAGTCTTCACACCCTTGGGTCTTCTTCATGGCAGATACTCTAATGTTTAACAAGGCTATCACAGAACTTCAAGGCTTTGCCACACTCATGACATTGATAAGGCTCCTGTCCAAAATGAATTTGCTTATGTTTAATGAGACGTGAGCTCACACAAAGTCTTCTGATACTCAAGATATCCACAAGGCTTCTCTGATGTCTGATAAAATCATTCCAGTATCTGAAGATTTTGCCACATTCTTTACTCTAATGGGACTCTTCTCCAGGATGACTTCTCAGTTGTTTTAAGGGACTTGGATTTACATTGAAGGTCTTTCCAGGTTGAGGATGTCCTGGTGTTTATTTAGGACTGCTGGCGGGCCAGGGTTTGTTTTATTAGGGAGGGATATTTTCAGAACAATGACTTTTCCACTCACTTTACAATAAAGGGCTGCTTCTTTTATTACAGGTGAAGTTGAAAATTGTGTGCAAGCTGAATGGAGGGTTTCCCACTCCCAGAGCACTGACAGGACTGAACTTCAGGGGGAATTTTTCCAGGTGTCTTAGGTCCCTCCATCAGAGTGATACTCTCCTTGGCTTGAGGCAATGTAGGCTGTGCTTCCTCAAAGGGGCTCCTCCTTCACTTGGGTAAACTATTCAGAAGCCCATGGACTTGTCCAGTGCAAAGCCCCTGAGGAATGTTCCCATTTAGTCCTTTAGGCATCACCCTCTGTGCTGGACTTCTGGAAAATTCTGCTTTGAAACAGACTCCTTGTTTAAGGCCGGAGTCACCACCTGAAAGAACAAGTTGATCATGCAATTAGCATCTTTTCCCCAGAGGCAGAAAGAGGGAGTCAAATGTAACATATGACACTAGCCTACAGAGAGAAACTACCTAAAACACAGCTCTTTATATATGAAAGTTCTAAGGAAGAATATATACTTGCTTTTTCATTAATTTTTGCTCTTATCTTTAGTATTTTCTTCCTTCTGCTTTTTTGGGTTTATTTTCCTGTTCTTAATTTTAGAGCATTATTTTAGAGCACTCTTTTTTTTCAGTTTTGCTTCTTTTCTAAATATGGAGTCTATACTTTTAAATAAAATAATTTACTTAAGGAGCCTGAAAAAGTACCTGCACAGACTATGTCTCAATAAACAGAAGCTACTATTATTAGTAGTATTATTGCTAATGTGAAGCAGGAGAAGTAAAATAAGACGGCAGCACTGGGGAGGAGACTCAAGATCTCCTGTGAACATAACAACATACAAAGCAGCAGATTAAAGAAGAGGTCATCATGTCAACACAGCATTTTACTGTCTATTTGGAGAGATTATAAAAATCTCAAAGCTGGAAAGGATATCAGAGAATATCTGGCCTGTCTCTCTTATTTTTAAGGACGTAGAAACTGAGGCCCAGCTAGGTGGCACTAACCTAGGTAATATGGTAACTTAGAGGTAAAGACAGGTTTACCTCTAAGGGCTCTTGAATCTCACCTTTTAAAGTTTTTATCAGCCTAATACACTGGCTCTTAGAGCCCATCATGGTACATAAACAACCTTCAGATTAAAACTTTCATAATATAGCACAGTGATTAAGAGAACAGGTTGGAAATTAGACTTCTGGTTTCAATTCCTGGCTCTACCATTTCCTGGCTGCGTGACCTAGAGCAAGTTATTTAATGTCTCTGTTCCTCAATTTCTTCAGCTGTAAAATGAGAGCATAGTAGTATCTCATATGATTATTTTTTTTTCTAAAATTTAATAATTTATTTTATAATCATCAAACACATTCTCCCTATTTAAAACATTTTGTTGATTCCAGAACAATCAACTCTCATTCCATAAATAAATGATGAACTACAGCATAGTTTGGTGTGGCCTATATATATATGAAGGCATTATTGCCTAAGCTATTATAGCTCTCTTGGAAACAAACAAACAAAATCCTAAGAACCTATTTTTGTCAGTTATTACTTATGAAGAAAAAAATGTGTTCAAAACCACACCATAAGTGTGACAGCAGTTAATTCTCGTATGTAGTGTCCTATCATTATTTTTTATTGAGGAAAAAAATATATAAGGCACATAGAAAGCATTCCATAAATATTGGCTATCATGGTAGATACACTATATCAAAAGTAGGTTATATTATTTTTCTTAGTTATTCACTGCCTTCTTTGTAAGAATTACTTTTCCCCACCCTATAGATAGCAAGGTTGGTCATTTGACTTATGTTGGCTAATGAAATATTAATGGAAATGACATATGCTCCTCCCGAGTAGATGCTTTAAAAGTTACCTTGTGGTCCTACCATTGTTTTTCTTTTGCCGTAAGAGCAGCATATTCAAGGCAGGACTACTTCTCTAGCCTGGATCCTATAGTGGAGAGAACGTGTTGCAGAGCTGCAACGGATCCACAGCTGACATGCAACATAAACAAGAATACATCTTGTACTGCAAGCCACTGAGATTTTGGGTGGGGAGAGGGGCTTCTGTTTACATAACAAAAAGCTAGTTGCTCACAATTAGCCTAAACTGCCTATACAATCTCTCACCATTTCACTGCACTAGGCGCTGCAGACAATCTGCAAGGAGTCATACATAATCCCTGCAATCAAAGAACTAGTAATCAAATGAGCAGGATAAGAGAGGCAGACAAATACAAAGCAAAACATTTAAGGAAAGTGTCCTAAGAAACAAACAACGTGCTACGGGAGGTGGAAGAAGGGAAAAATTGCAAGTGGTAATGAGGAACAGAGTGCATTTATATGTTTGTTTAGAAATCAGATATCAAATGGAGCTCAACCTAAGGCTTTTTAATAAATTGGGCAGTCACCAAGTAAGACTTCTTCTAAACATCTTTCAGCCTAATGTGATCTCTTTCATGCTTTTTGATAAAGAATTTTGGAATCCCAACTCAGCACCCAAACTGTGACTGAGAAGATCCAAAGTTTCTTTCCTGAGGAATAATTGCTTTACTTATAAATTCCTCTACTATTCATGCCCATGCTAGAGTGGGTTGGCCTTATGTCTGGGCAAGAATAAAGTTCAGCTATCTATTCATCCATCCACCCACTAAATCATTACAAAAAGGATCAGAGTTGGCTACACAGAATATGTGATCATAGGTTCTTGTCAGAGAATTCAGTCATGAATGTCAAGCCAATATTTGCCTAATGCTTGCTAGAGGAATTTGAAATTTGAGAGAAGCTATTTGATAATCATTTAACTTTCCATACATTTAGATTCTCTAAGTCTAACCCTTTTATAATTAAGCAAGATTATCATATAAAGCAAAATCCTGAATACTGTCTTAGCCACATGCAGAAATGCTTCACTGAATTAGAAATTTCATGGAAGAATGAACTAAAACTACACTCAATAGCACGGACTGATCTCACAAAGATAAAGTTGAGAGAAATAAGCCAGGCACCCAAGAGTGCAATGTGTATGAGGTACAAAAACAGGCAAAACCCATCTATGGTGTTAGGAGTCAGAATAAGGTTGTCTTTGGAGACGAATGGGAAGGATCATAGGGGTAAAGGGAGTGTTCTAGAATGCTGGGAATATTCTGTTTCTTGAGCTGGGTATGTTATTCAGGTGTGTTCACTTAGCTCAAACTCATAAAACTGCTCATAATTTGTGCACTCACAAATGCTTATGATTTGTGTACTTTTCTGTAGGTGTGTTATAATTTAATAAGTTACACTTAAAAAAAAGATTTTATGGAGTTGTTTCGAGAGTTCATTATGATCCATTTTAAGTGTTTTTCTATTTAAAACTATAATTGAAGGGGCCAGCCCGGTGGTGTAGCAGTAAAATTTGCGCGCTCCGCTTCGGCAACCCAGGGTTCATGGGTTCGGATCCCGGGTGTGCACCTAGCACCAAGCTCAAGCTATACTGTGGTGGCGTCGCATATAAAGTAGAGGAGGATAGGCACAGATGTTAGCTCGGGGCCAGTCTTCCTCAGCAAAAAGAAGAGGATTGGCAACAGGTGTTAGCTCAGGGCTAATCTTCCTCAAAAAAACAAAACAAAAACAAAAAAACTATAATTGAAGACAATATACACTCTATTATTCAATATCCTTTATGCAGGGACTCAAGCAACATGTTTACCTGAATTTAGTTCCAGGAATAAGGCCATCTCTGCAGTCAAATATAATTGCTTTTTCTTAGACAAATAAAAAAACAATATAAAACAACATATTTTCCATTTTGTTTTAATGGCCAGAAAACTGTGAATCAGCTTCAGTACTCAACTGTATTAATTTATTTATTTCAGAGAGGAGAGAAATTCATCATCTGTAGTAGGTTGAATGGTGGCCCCTCAAAAAGGAATGTCTATGTCCTAACCCTCAGAATATGTGAATGTGACCTTTCTTGAAAAAAGTGTCTTTACAGATGTAATTAAGTTAATGATCTCAAGATGAGATCATCTTGGACCACCCAGATGGGCCCTAAATCCAGTGACAAGTGTCCTTTTAAGAGATAAAAGAGAAGACAGAGAGAGGAAGTAAAGGCCCACGTGAAGACAGATTTACATGATGTAGCTACAAGTGAAGGAATTCCTGGAAGCTGGAAGAAGGCAGGAAGGATTCTCCCTTACAGTCTTTGGAGGGAACGTGGCCCTCCCAACATCTTTATTTTGGACTTCTGGCCTCCATAACTGTGTGAGAATAAATTTCTGTTATTTCATGCCACTAAGTTTTTGGTAATCTGTTATGGCAGCCCTAGGAAACTAATATACCATTGGAAGACAGTAGATATAATCTGGGTCTGTGTTTATCCCAAAGTGTCCCATTTTCATTGTGAAAAGTACATGTTCCCTAAATCCTTTTTGGAAGTGGATACAGTATAAATCTTAATAAATAAATGTTATGCTTAAGATATACTTAAAAATGAATAATCTGTTTAGAACATCAATAATAAGCACACATTAATAGAGTACCAATTGAGTTCTTGAATTCTGAAAGAGCTTACACTGAATTAAAGCTATACAGAAAAGTACCCCAGGATTGCTAGAAAGAATCTAGTATCACAGGCTGCATGCACAGCACACATACAGACACACTGAGAAGAACTATTATGTACTGGAGATAGAAGCAAAGGAACCAAACTGAGGGAAGCCTGAAAAACTCCATTAATACACATCACAAAAGCCATTGGTTAAATTGGCCAATCCTCATTATTCATGGATTCCATATTTGTGAACTCACCTACTTGCTAACATTTACTTGTTACCCCCTAATCAACACTTGTGGCGCTTTTACAGTCATTCCTGGGCACGCGCAGAGTAGCAAAAACTTTGAGCTGCTGATGTTTCTAGCTGAGATCAAACAAAATGGCACTCTGCTTTCTTGTTTCAGCTCTCATACTGCAAACCAGTGTCCTTTTTGTGGCCTAATTAGTGCCATATTTTTCACATTTTTTGTGGGTGATTTTGCTGTTTAAAATGCCCCTAAGCATAGTGCTGAAGTGCTGTCTGGTGTTGCTAAGCATAAGAAGGCTGTGATGTGCCTTACAGAGAAAATACATGTGCTAGATAACTCATTCATACATGAGTTACAGTGCTGTCGGCTGAGTTCACTATTAATGAATCAATAACACAGTACATCCAGAAAAAGGAAGAGGAAATTTAATGATTTGTACATGAGGCTGCTCCAAAAAGTGCTAAAGTAACATCTATAGTGTGTGATGAAACAATGGAAAAGATGGGAAAGTGGCTAAACTTGTGTATTAATCAGATGAAAACTGGTAAAAAAAAAAAAAGCACAGCAGACAGCATTGCTGTGAGGCTGAAAGCCAAAGAAATTTACAGTCTTGTTAACCAGGGTCAGGAAATGTTAAACCCTTCTCAGGAGTGCTGGCTGGCCACCTCACACATTGATACAGTGTGGAAAATGTTAAATTTGCAAGGGAGGCAGGGTCTGCAATCAGCAGGCTGTGGTAGAATTTTTAACATACCTGCTCCGAGTTATACAAGAAAAGGGTCATATGGAAGAGCTGGTTTTCAACGCTGATAGGCTGGCTGGTTTTATAAAGACACTAGCAAACAAACTTATATAATGCAAACGACATTTCGACTGATGAAAATATTGTGACCAGAGGCTCATAGGAATCTAATCTTGGATTTCGTCTAGGAGCAATAGTTCAGTACTTGTTAATTCAGTGTTTGTGGCAATTTTATAGAACATAACTACTGTGAAAAATGAAAATCAACTGCATATTACCAAAACCAGATCCATGAGAAAGGCATAGGGTCCAAATGTAACAAAAGGGAAAATGATTTCTTTTGAGCCAATGGCATTGGCAACCCTCAGAAACTATTTCTCCTCCACTGAATGTACACTCCAAGAAGTGAATGGTCAGCACTGACTTGGAATCTCCAAGTCTCAAAAATGTTGGAGATACGGGAGAAGGCTGATCTCAAGATGGGTGAGCAGAGAGGGGAGCCTACAGCTGAGGTAACAGCATATCTTCCAGACAAGTATTCCAGCTACCACCACTTCTTTTTATTTATGGTACTGGAGGTCATCTAGTAAAATAAGGCAAGAAAAAAAAAGGATGTAAGGATTGGAAAGGAAGAAATAAAAACATTATTTGCAAATGTTACATATAAAAAACAAAAGAATCCACATATAAAATTTTTAGGATGCTGGATACAAAATCAATAAAAAAAATAAATTGTAAGTCTCTGTTAACAGAAAGTGAAATTGAAAAAAACAAATGATGCCACTAACAGTTGCATGGAAAAGTATCAAATGTCTACGAATAAATCTAACAAAGGCATTCAAGGCGTCTGCACAAAAAATCATAAAATATTATTGGGAAAAATTAAAACCCTAAAGGAATGTTCATGGATTGGAAGACTCATGTATAGATATTGATTCTCCCCAGATTAATCTATAGATTCAGTACAATCCCAATCAAAACCCCAATACATTTTTTGGGAAGGAGTGGGTAGTTGATTCTAAAATTTATATGTAAATGCAAATGGCCAAGAACACCCAAGACACTTTTGAAGTAGGAGAACAAGATGGTATCAAGAGCTGAGCCGAGCTGGAGAGAGTTGAGTTGCCAGGTGTTGCAGTGGTCAGTTAACACAGGCAAAAATGAAAGTAACAGCCTTTATAAAACTTTTTTATAAAGACTTTATAACAGGCTTTATAAAACAAGCCAGTCTTATCAGCGTTGAAAACCAGCTCTTCCATATAACCCTTTTCTTGTATAACACTGAACAGATATGTTCAAAGGCTTTAAACGTTTACTGCAATAGCATTAGCAAGAAGCCCAACAAGAGAAAGTGCTGGCTCCTGCAGTGTTCCATTCTTATCCATGGAACATGCCAGGCGAGGGTCAGGTGAATCAACACAGATGTGGGGACTGTCTCATTGCCAAGTAAGCACTAAACAAAAGGCTGCAGTCATTTTATGGACCCAGGAGCCAGAGGGAGGAAGAAGGGTAAAGGCTAGGAGTGGAAAAGTACTGAGTACTAAGTCAGAGTAGAGAAAAGTGTCTTCAATGTTCCCCCACCCCAATAAGGGGGTCTTGGCAGAGTTGCTTGGGCAAGGCCCCAAATAAATAGGCCTCTAAATGAAGGTGCCTGGGCTAGGAATGCAGATACGCCTAAGAGCAAACTGGGCAGGCAGTCTGAGTCCTTGACTGCAACTCCCTTCAGAGACTGCATGCATTCGCTGTGCCTCAAGTCTAGTGTGGAAGGGTAGCTTTCCCCCATGAGGGATAAAGCCTATGGTCACATCTGAAAAATCACACACAGAAATTTAAAGTTAGACTCCTCAGGTAGGATGATTTGTTCCACTGAATACCTAAACATAATGTAAAGGCACGATAATTAGGAAAGTATGGTACTGATGCAGGGATAGCCAAATAAACCAAAGGAACATAACAGAGAAACTAGAAACAAACCCATGTACATATGGACAATTAATACATGACAAATTACCACTGTAGAACAAGACAGTCTTACCTGTAAGTGATGTAGGATAAACTGGATATCCATATAGGAAAAGAACAAAATTTGACTTTACCTCACTCATGCACAAAAATCAACTTCAAATAGATTATAGATATAAATGGAAAGCAAAATTATAGAACTTTTTAAGACTAAATAGAAATTATCTTCATGATCTTAAGGCAGAGAAAGAATTCTTCAAAGACAAACAAAACAAAAAGACACACACAAAAAAGAAAAAGATTGATAAACTAGACTACACTAAATTTAAAAATTAATGCTCATCAAAAGACACTATTAAGAGAATAAAAAGGCAAGCCATAGAGTTGGAGAGGATATTTGCATTCTCTGTATAAAGAGCTTATATTGAGAATACGTAAATAATTCCTACAATGTGTATAAGAATTGAACAGGAACTTTCTATAAAGAACACTAAACCATCAATAAGCACTAAGCTAGCCTACCCTTTGTTCAAGAGATGTACCTCATCTCTCAAGGTTACCAGGGGCATAAACAACACTAAGAAGTGGCCTGGGTAAGAAAGCGGCCACAGCCTGCAGTGTTGGCACACCCAGCAAGACATGCAGGAGTGCAAGTGGCCCAAGGAGGACTGTCTCTCCCAACAATGGTATACTGAGTCACAACGTGAAATACATTTCTTAGTGCATCAAGTATTTGAAAAACATTAGCCTAGAGAAGTTGTTTCATATTTCCTAGAAATCAAGGCATTTCATGGTCTGGCCCCTAGCTCTCTCCAGTTTCATCTGCCACTACTTCCATAATGCATTCTATAACCATTCATTGAAAACTTCCTTCTTTTCCTCCAGACGCACTGTGCTTTTTAACATCCTGTTCCCACTGTACCTTCCTTCATTCCTTTTCATGTGGCTGCAGAACTCATTCTTTCTCCAAAATTTCATCCTCCTCCAAAGTCTTTCCAACCCTCTCATGAGTAGTTGTTAACATCTTCAGTGCAAAGCACTCTGTGCAAACCCAGTGGCTTTATCACTATAATTATTGTTTTCTTTCTAATCCCTTCTCCCTGTCCCCAAATGGACTGCAAGCTCCTGTAGAGCAGGGTACTTTTTTCATTTATCTTTGTATTCCTAGTACCAGGCACAAGGCCCAGCCTAAAACAAATAATCATTAATACCTTAGTTTGAGCTCACGAGGAATAACCATGTTACATGTATCCTGATCTCCTAACACTAAATTCTTCACTAAAAGAGATTTCGTTTTCCAGAACACCTGCTCTTTCAAAGTCTTCAGAATACTCACCATTTACTGCTTAGGATTCAGTTGTGCTGGTTCGGGGTGGAATATGACATCTCTTCAGTGCTGATCCCAGAAAGGTGTTCTCCACCCAGAAGACTCTGTCAGCAGACCTCCATCCTAAGAACAAACCAAGACAGCCGAGGCCAAAGAGGTCAACACTGAAAACACTGATGATAACAACAAAGACATGGGGTGACAGGGAACTCTCTCCAGGGCAGAGCAAGGAGAAACCACCGTCTCCTTCAATTGCCAAAGGCAAGAAGAAGCAGGGCAAAGGAATTCACTTTCAACCCAGCACAGCAAAGACAATTTCCTGGTGCTTTGCTGAGGCCCTTCACTTCTGCCTATAAGTACGTGCCTTACTTTCTCTAACATGCCCCATGCCCTGAGTGAGGTTCTATTTACTTAATTTGAGCTCCAGAACTATGACCTTCTGTGCCTTTAGCCCCCATGTTCAGGCCTAAAGTTACTTGAGCAGTGTGGTAAGCACTACCTCAATACAGAGACTTCATGATGTGCTCTTTCACGTACATCTGTGACCTCAGTGCTTGATGGTACAAGCTGGCTCAGAGCTTCAAGGAATCCAGTGTGTCTTACAGCTGACTTGACTGATTTGTTGATGAGAATTAATGGAAACTGTGCATTTCTTTGCTACGCAGAGTCCTACTCTGAGGAGTGAACACCTACCTTCTCAGAGTATTCCCTTCTACTTGTCCACAGTGTGGACCAAAGCAATCTGCAATTTCTATCAATTTGGTACTCATCTTGAACCTCACATGACTAAGTTTCAAGGATCAAAAGAATTTCAGATCTGTTATCTAGGAGTGAGAAATCCCTATTAATACAGAATACTAATAAAAAAGTAATTTTAAAGTCCAGATCTGTTTCTGGAGTTTCATATGTGCATATACAGGGTTTGGATTTTAGGCCTAGGGATTAGGGTTAGGAAGTTAGGCTAGTCTGGTGAATAGTTCTACTGGGATTTCCACAAATATAGCAAAGACATTTTCCAAATTGAACTCAACTTTCTACCACCTCCCAAATCTGAGCTCTCCTGATTGATATGAGGTATCAAGTTTCACATAGTCACTCAGATCCTTGAAAGTCATCCTAAAACCAATGCCAACCCTAACTCAACAACAGTTCCCCAAGCTTGTTCCATTCTCATACTTCTGTCTGTCTTTGCATATGCCACACTACTCTTTGAGAAACACTAAATGCAAAGGTTAGAAGCACCCTTCTCTGTTAAGACATTTTTTGTTATTTTGTTTTGGTTCAGGAAGCTCAGTTAAGTTCAGGGATTTATTGGATCAGCAAGTCAAAAGGCCTGGGGCTTTGTTAACTAAGCAAGAATAATCTTGAAGAATAATTCTTTTTAGGGATTCCTACCTAAAAAGAAGATAGTCTACCTTCAGCCAGGAGGTCACTAACCCAGCTAATCATCCCTGAGAGCATAACGGGACATCAAAAGCAAAGAAAGGAAGTCCAACAGGTTAGTATTTTCAGATTCAATGAGGATATGTGGTCCCCGTCTCACCAACTAATGTTACTTCCAATTTCAAAATTTAATGTTTCACCTGTAATACTGGTAGCAACAACAATAACAACAAAAGGCTCATAATAAGAAAAATAAAAATCATGTTTGAAATATTGAAGTTTGCTCTTACTAAACCAAAACAAACTACACTATGGTATATGGTTTTCAAATAACTTTACCTTATGAGTTGTAAAACTGCACTCTCAGAAGAAGATGCGATTTTAGAGCTTTAGTCAGTCATTATGCTGATGGAGTCATTTTTCACTGACTTCTCTCTTCTTCAATATTCCAAGGGACTAAGTGTCAATTAAAACATTAACTTTTACCACACCCTTCTTTTGGTGGTAACTTCTGATACCAAAAAAGTCCTTTGGAATATCTTCACCACATAAATCACTTTTGACACTTTCCTTTGGTATGTATTTTCTGGTGTTTGGTAAGATTAGAGCTCCCACGGAAAGCTTTCCCACACTCGTCACACTCGTACGGTTTCTCTCCAGTATGGATTCTCTGGTGATGAATAAGGGTTGAGATCTGGCTGAATGCTTTCCTGCATTCTCCACACTCGTAGGGCTTTTCTCCAGAGTGAATCCTCTGATGATTAATAAGGGCTGAGTTCACATAGAAAGCCTTCCCACACTCCTTACACTCATACGGCTTCTCCCCTGTGTGGATTCTCTGATGTTTGATGAGGGCTGAGCTCACGCTGAACGCTTTTCCACACTCATCACACTCATAAGGTTTCTCACCAGAGTGGATTCTCTGATGTTTGATAAGGTCTGAGCTCACACTAAATGCTTTGCCACATTCAATACATTCATAGGGTTTCTCTCCATTGTGGATTCTCTGATGTATAATCAAGTGTGCCCTCACACTGAAGGCTTTCCTACACTCGTTACAAGTATAGGGCTTCTCACCAGTGTGGATTCTTTCATGCACAGTGAGGGTTGAGCGCACACTGAAGGCTTTTCCACAGTGATCACACCCATAGGGCTTCTCTCCAGTGTGAATTCTCCGATGTCGAACAAGGCCTGAGCTCTGGGCAAACTTCTTTCCACACTCACTGCATTTATACCGTCTTTCTTCTGTGGGTCCTTCCTCATGCCTTTCTAACTGGTCTTCATACTGAGAGGCTTTTTCATACTCAAGAATCTCCGCATTAATCTCCTCTAAAGTATCCTCATTACATGTGCTGGGGACCTTCTGGTGTGGGTCCATCCTTACAAAAATTTTCCCTTCAGGATCAACACCTTGTTCATACCTCTGGCCTTGATTCCTGAAATAATAAACAGACCTTTCAAATGTAATTTATTTTCTGCTGCTAAAGCAATATGACATAAAAACAGACTTAAGTAGGACTCTCAAACATGTTTGATAACCCTAGCACACACCAATTGTATGGCAGCCGGATCAAATGTTTTTATTCAGTCTGTACCACAACACAGTAACATCACAGAACTACTGGAATGAACGCCTGACTCAAATGACTATTTAAATCTACCCTTTATAAAGTATCTAAAGCACAGAATCTGGGATATAAGTGAATATAAAAATAATATATAGTTCCTACTTTAAAAGACTTTTTATCATATTAAATTAAATTAGGGAACAAAACAGGAATTGAACAGATTTGCAGACAGTAGAGCAGATGAAGGAGTATAGGAATAGAGAAGGCAAAAGAATCATAAATTCAACTGATAATGAGTAAGTTTGGTAAAATGACAATAACATCTTTGACAGGTGTGTTTTACCACTCACAAGAGTCCACATTATTCGGGTTGGAAGAGAGACACGGGGATTAAAAGAAAGCTCTGCCTGTTGCTACCGCTACTATTGCTGCAACTGCTGTTGCTGTGATAGACAGTATCTTAGCAACAGGGATGCTTTGTCTTCTCTGGAACTGTGACAGAATAGACCCTTCACCTCTCCAAAGAAAGGGCCTCCACCAGCCCATCCCATCTTTACAGTTTAGATCAATGTGTGCAGAACTTTGTGGATTGCTGCCACTCTCTTATGCCCTGGGAATAAATCCAATTTTGTCTCCAAACTTGATAAAACTTTTGCTCCAAACTCAAATTACACAAATTATCTCCTCTCTGCCTTTTTCCATTTTACAAACTGTTTTATGTCTCAACGGTGATAAGTCAATTTGACAATATGCACTCCTGATATGATGAAATGAGAATGGCACTTCACCTCTGTGGTCTTCCTCCCCAAAACCTATAACTTCAGTATAATGATGAGAAAAACATCAAATTCCAATTGAGTGACATTCTACAAAAAACCTGATAAGTACTTCTCAAAACTGTCAAGGTCATCAAAAACAAGGAAAGTCTGAGAAACTGTCACAGCCAAGAGGAGTCTATGGAGACATGACAATTAAATGTAATATGGTATCTTGGATGGGATCCTGGAATAGAAAAAGGACATTAGGTAAAAACTAAGGAAATGTGGAGTATGGACTTTAATAATAACAGTCAGTAGTGATTCAATAGTTGTGATAAATGTACTATACTAATGGAAGATATTAATAATAGGGGAAACTAGGTGTGGGGTATATAGGAACTCTCTGTACTATCTTCACAATTTTTCTGTAAATCTAAAACACCCACAGTCCAGAAACCATTCTAAACATTTTATTAAAAAACTTATCTATGTTTTTGGATAGGTAAAATACAATTCAAAAGTCAAAATGATCTAAAAAGATATACACAGAGAAGGCTTGTTTCCACCCTGACCCCCTCCTTAGTTTGCCACCTCCAGAGGTAATCACTTTTATTAGTTTCTAGTGTCTTTCCAGTATTTCTTTATACAAACATGTATTTTTTAAGCCTCTGATTTCCTTAATCCAGTTGTGAGGGGAGGGAGGGGTTCCCCACAAATCAGTTACAGGTTTGTTGCTGGACCATTTTTAAGTGATGCTGTTTTATCAAATTTCTCTGAACAGCAGCTCCTTGGCAATACTGAAAAAGTCTCCTTCAGTGCACAGGTCACATGCACCTGAACCCTTGCCCAGAGTCCAGAAACATGGTCACCATGAAAGCACATGGTGTAAGCCACTCCAACCTTAGCAAAATATGGAGAACCCCTAGTCCTACCCAAACCCCTCTTGTTCTGCAGCTTGCTCACACTGGAATTAGCCTTTCCCATCCCTGCCTCAATGTGCCCTCTTCTCCCTAATACATTCCCCTTACAGCCCCAAACTTCTGATGTTGACTTAAGTTGACTTGAGGCAACTACAAATGATACACATAATTTTTTTCTGAATAAATTGTTCGAAGGCTATAGGTACATATAAAGTACTTTTCTGAGCTGTCATCAGCACTTTAACTTTTTAACTTCTAAGAAAAGATATCAAGAAGAAAAAGGAACGAATGCTCTCATCTTCTAAACAGAAGAAAAAGGCTGGGTGGGGGTGGAGAAACGCAATACAGATACCAAAAGAAAGGAGCTTTCCGGAGCAGAGCATTCAGCTAAGCTGACTTTTTCTTTGAGGCACAATGAGAATATTTCAAGAACATCTAAATAAAATTGTCAAGTGTCCCTCAGCTACCAAGGTCATAATACAACACAAACGAGAGCTGAGGACACAGGGCCAGGAGATAAAAAGGTCTCCCATTCCCCTAGTCTCACCCTTCTCCGCCTCTGGAAATTCGGCCCTGTCAGAACAGCAACGCCGGGTCACGGTGATTACGAGTCCTCAGAGCCTCGGAGACGCTGCTGGGGACTGGGGGACCTCGCCCGGGATCCGGGCCTGGTAGGGCTCTGGCCGCAGAGCCCCGCCGCCCCCGCCATCCTCGCCCCCGGGGTGTCTGGGGAGGCGGCCAGGCTAGTGTGGCAGGGCCGGGAGGGGAGGGGAGAGGGGAAGGACAGAAGAAGAGGAAAAAGGAAGAGGCGAAGCAAAAGGGAGTAAAAGAAAAAAGAAAGTGAGGAGTGTGAGAAGGGGTAGGGGGTGAGAGCAGGGACGAGGGTCAGAGTGCGGGGTGGAGGGGCAGGCTTGAGCGACGTGGAGCAGCCCGCGATCTCCCCTCCTCTGCGCTGTCAGCCCACGGCTCACTCAAAACCCGAGAAGCAGGACGAGAGAAGACTCACCTGGAAATCGGCGGTTTGAGGATTTGGATTGAGGCCAGCATTGGCCCGGAGAGGTCGCTTTCCGCGGAACCCCGCCCCCGGGCACCTGGGGGTCCGCTCTAGGATCCCGGAGGCTTCCCTCTCAGTGGTTCGAGGGCTGACGACCTGAAAGGAGCAGGAGGGGAAAGGATTCTATTTACTCCTAAAATGGCCTTGTACACTTTTTATCTCCTTTAATCCTGCAAAGGGGACATTACAGGGACGTTCTTATATATAAGAAAACTGAGAAGCAGATAAATTTTCTGATGTCGGACAACTTATAAAACAGCAGAGGTGAAATTTGAACCCAGATCTTTCACAGTCCCAACTCCTTCCACTTGCCTCCCAGATGAACCATCATATAGCTCCTTGGGACTTAGCACTCAGAGACTAATCCATAAGTTCATTTGTAAATTTAACTCTTTTCCAATAAAAATACCAACTTTTTTTTGTGAGGAAGATTAGCCCTGAGCTACCATCTGTTGCCAATCCTCCTCTCTTTTCTGAGGAAGATTGGCCCTGGGCTAACTTCCGTGCCCATCTTCCTCTATTTTTTGTATATGGGATGCCACCACAGCATCCTTGATAAGCGGTGTATAAGTCTGCACCAGGGATCCGAACCTGCGAACCCTGGGCTGTGGAAGTGGAACGCACAAACTTAACTACTATGCCACCGCCCTGCCCCCAATACCAACTTTTTTATAAATATATTTCAAACTTCACATGGAAAAATAAACAAGCAAGACTTCCTGGGAAAACGCTGAAAAAGAAGGGCAATGAAGAGGCATGTGTGCTAAAGGATTTTAGACATATTATAAAGCCTCAATAATTAAACAGCGTGGTACTGATGAGTGAGATAGACAAATGTACAGAATACAAAGTCCAGAAATAGATGCAATCAGAGGCAGAAATTTAGCATATAATAAAGGCCACAAATCAGTAAGAAAAAGATGAGTAGACTCTTCAATAAATGTATGGGCAGAACTGGGTAATCATCTGGAAAAATGTTAAACTGGATTCCCACCTCACTCTATATACATGGGTAAATATTACAAATAAATCAAAATTGTAAATGTTATAAATGAAACTATAAAAGTACCAGAGGAAAACATGGGAGAAGTCTTTTATAACTGCAGAGTAGGAAGGCCTTTCTAATTATGAGACAAAATCCAGAAGCCGTAAATGAAAAGACTGGTAAATCTGACCTCCATATAAAGAATCAAAATTTCTGCAAGGCAAAACAAACAAAACCACCTTAAGCAAAGACAAATAAAAAATGGAAAACATATTTATAACACATCTCAGACAACAGGCAGCAAAGATGGAACTCCTGAACAATAATATTGTGGAAATGGCAGAGCTGAGCTGGGTTCTCTCTTGTTCCGCCCTCACCTTGAATCAGATTCTGCTAAGAGTTCACAGCAACACACTTATTCTGAACCCGTTAAATAGAAGCTTTTAAAAAAAGGTCTCCTCAGGTTCCTTACTTCCAGAACCTTTAGAAGACCAGAGAATGTCAAAGTTTAACACAACCCTTCTTTAGGGGGAAGGGTCCTTATAATTGATATTTCAATGGTGTATTCCTGAGTAGGAGCTGGAGAGACAGTGATTCTCCCTCTGCTCCCAGAGCTGGCATTTCTTGCTAGATTACTTCTTGACTGTGTGCAAGAGTTGGAACCATGAAAATTAAACACATGAAATTATGTATCACTGTATAAACAAATAAATCAGCAGAGCAGGCCAGTCCCAGGGAAGTAAGGAGAGGAAGAATTAATTACAACAAATAATCGAGATAGCACTTCTTATATATGAGGTACTGTTCGTGTAATCTTGATAATAACTCTAGGCAGGTGCTTTTATCATTTTCACTCACTGTCTTGACATGAGTACAGCCATGTTTGGCCGCTCCATTGACTTACAGCCACCAGCACAAAAAGAAATATAAAAGCTGCTTTCTGCGTGGTGGGAACTGGCCCTTCTCCCAAGGAGATAGTGGCAATCCGTAAAAATTTCAA